TGTAACATACCCAGACGCCTCTGGGCCTCCCTCTCCTTCTCTCGCTCTCTCATGTGCTCTCTGGCAATAAAAAAACCCAAAAACAAAGTAAGAGCTCAATGTTACAAAATTAGGGACACAGATGGTTCTAAAGGAGATGAGTTGGAAGTTTTGGATGCAAATTTTCATGCCCTTTCAGGGCCAGCAGGTGGCATGGTGGTTAAGGTGCTAGACTCCCACATGGATAACCACGGTGTGAGTCCAGGACCTGGTGGCTTACTTTCTCACTCTCCCTCTCTTTCTATTTCTTTCTCTCTCTGCCCAAATCGAAGAATAATAATAAACAAATAAAGTGAAATAAATAATTCTTAAAAAAACTTTTTTATGCCCTTTTTATATATTGTAATTAGTGGGGATGGCTGCCTTGTATCTCAAGTCTGGCTAGAAGTCTAGTCTTGAGTAGCTGTGCTGTATCTTCTAAATCTTTGTATTCATAGTGGGCTCTTTCACCACAGGGGCTTGGCGCATAGAAGACCCTCCATCAATAAGTGTACAATGGGGACCAGTGGGTAGTGTGGTGGTTGAAGAGCTGAACTTCCATGTGGCTAACTGCGGTTCGAGTCTTGGATCTTGTGGCTTTCACTTTCCTTCTGCCTCTCTGTCTCTGGTGAACAAATGTGCTTTATAGAAAAATTTAAAAATAATAATAATGATAAATAAAATTAAATAAATCATTCTTTTTTTTTTAATTTTTTCTTTTTTTGGAGAGATTTTCACTGTAGGGCGCGTGCGCTCGCCAGACAGACCGAGAGAGAGCGTGAGTTTTAAGCCACCGGGTCCGGGACACGAACCGCGGTCGACTACGTGGGAGTCCAGCGACATAGCCATTACGCTAACTGCTGGTTCCCAATAAATCATTCTTTAAAAAAAAAAGATGAGTGTGATGAACAATGAACAAATGGTTCTCTTAGTTCTTGGGACAAATGTAGCATGAGGGTCCTCATCTAAATCTTGGTGTCTATAACTAAGGAATCCAAAAAATGAATGCATGAGTAGCAGTCTGTTTATAGTATACTTAAGGTTGGTTAAAATAATAGTGGAGCTCAAGAGGGAACCAATATGTAAATTCAGTTATTCTTAATAATTAAAATTCATGAGCAGCCGGTGTGTCGAGGTAGTTAAGGCAGCTGGACCCCACATAGCTGACTGTGCAGCTTGAGCCCTGGACCTGGTGGCTTAAAAACCACACTGGGGAGGTCGGCAGGTGGTGTGATGGTTAAAGGTGCTGGACTCCTTCATGGTTGACCATGGTTCAAGACCTGGACCTGGCGGCTTGTATTCTCACTTTTCTCTCTCTCCGTCTGTGTCTTGCTATGGTCAAATTAAAAATAACAATAATGAGGGGGCCAGCAGGTGGTGTAGTGGTTAAGGTGCTGGACACTTCCACATGACCAACCATGGTTTGAGTCCTGGACCTGGTGGCTTGCTTTCTCACTTTCCCTCTCACTCTGTGTGTCTCTGTCTGGTCAAATTAAAATAAATGAATGAATAAATAAAATTAAATGAATAATTCTTTTTTAAAACTGGGTGGGGGTGGGGGGTGGGGGCAAGGTTCTTTCTTACTTCATTTCTCTCTCTCTATCTCTCTGGCAAGAGCATACACCCTATAGCAAATTTAAAATATAAATAAAATGCAGAGTCGTTGGTACACAAGAACATGGTCTAGAGAGGAAGACGTGAGGAACTTGGGATCAAGTCAATCAATTCATATTTCCTCCTTTTTTAAAAATTTATTTTCAAGGTTTTTGCCATAGAGCATGTGTACTTGCCAGAGAGAGAGAGAGAGAGAGAGAGAGAGAATGAAAAATCACTCCCCTTCCATGGGGAGGGGATCATCATGCCATAATCCCTTCTCCTCCATTCTCCTCTGGGATTTTGGGCTTGCACACACATGCACCCAACATGATTTTCAGGCTGCTGGGTCCAGGACCCGAACCACAGTTGACCATGTGGGAATCCAGTGCCTTAACCACCATGCCACCTGCTGGCCCCTCAATTCACATTTCTCACTTTCATAGCTACAGACAGAGTCTGTGGCAGCTCCCGGTTCCAAAGTGGAAGTGAACTTGACATTTCAGCTAATTTACTATTTTGAAAAAGTCAGTGGATAAACTATTTTTCCTGGAGCTGAGGCTATGGTCCTCTGAGCCTCCAGCCATCTCTGGGATGCATCTCGTGTGCATGTAGTTGCAGAGCCTTTGGGCCTCACGATCGTCTGACCTGTGAACCAGGCTGATAGAACTACCAGTGCTGTTACTGGTCCGCGATCAGGGCTCCTCAGTTCTTGATGACAGAGGGCCAGGATGAGGCCTACAGCCCATCAGGGATCAACATCAGGTCTTGCTAACCAAGGAACACAGGCAGGATGGACGATAGCAGGCCGGGTGCCACTGGGAGGACAACGGCTGCTCTGCTAATTCTAATTTGTCCCTAAGTATTCTGTGTGTTTGACCATGCCGTGGTGAATGGAGAGCAGGGTGCCGGCAGGCCCTGAGTTAGCTCCGGAAAGTGTCCTCCCGTGGACTAGCTTGTGA